ATATATATATATTTATATATATATTAGGGCTGTACTGAATATTCGCTTCGTATTCCCTTCGGGGCCGAATAGTGGCGGTCAGGCCGAATACGAATAGTGATTTCTGCATACACTGCGATGGACTGAAATAACTCTCTCATTAACAATGTCACAATTTATAGCCGACTTTTTTTTTATTTTCGCCGCGGCACCCCTGGCATACGCACCCAATTTTAGAACCTTTGCTGTAATGCCTCAGAGGAGTCAGCAGGCGCTGTTTTCACGCAACCGGGTTGCAGTTTTCCCCGCTACGACAGATTTAGGCAACGCTACTGTTGTGTTAAAGAAGGCATGAAGAAACTTGGAAGTTAAAATTTAAATTGTCTTTCCTCGCTACTTCGAAAAAGTTTGTTTTTTCCCTCGTTTCACACTCAAAGTGTATCATACTGCATAACATGCCAACCGCAGGTTGCTAAAAATTGTCTTTGTATTTCTCCCGACATGCGACCAATCCTCCATCTGTATTCGTGAAGGTGCAGCAGATAAGTAAGGTTGTGACTACATTTTTGCTCAAATTTTGAAGTGGAAATGTGGTCTGAACAATATTAACTGTTAGCCTCGCCAAGTATGCACATATCTTTAAAGGCAATGCGTTCTTTATTGTTGCTTTTGTGCGTGTGTATCTGTGTGTGAGAGAGAGAGGGGGGGAGAGAGAGAGAGAGAGAGAGAGAGAGAGAGAGAGAGAGAGAGAGAGAGAGAGAGAGAGAGAGAGAGAGAGCATGCATTTTTTCGTTCTTTCGGGGTGTCTTTGCCCAAATCAAATTGAAGATATTGCGACAGAGAATATGAAGGTGCATTTAAATTACATCGAACGAACGCCTGAACGAACGATGATTTAAATGCAAATTTGGCACATGGATAAAATCAGATGAAAGATGCATTACTAAAATAAAAAACAAAAATAGGAAAGGCAAAAACTGCATTTTATTAAAAAAAAAAACATCTTATGCAATAAATCTTTATCTATGTCTTGCTTGCTACATACATACAGTTTTAACATATGGCTATGAGTCCTGGGCACTCGGTAGCCAGGCTAAACAATTTTTTGAGGCCTCAGAGATGTGGTTTTACAGAACAATGCTTAAAATACTTTGGACAGCCTAAAAAAAGCAACCACTAGGTTTTGAAAGAGGCGGGATCCCAAAGACAACTAATCACAGACATCAGAAGAAGACAGTCATCATTTTTCGGCCATCTTATAAGAAGAGTGAAAATGGAACATATGGTGACCACTGGAAAGATTTGTGGAAGGAGAGATAGAAAAAGACAACGAGAGAAGATTCTTGACAGTCCTGTTGCATGTCATGGGAGTGTGTCAGCACACAAACTAATACATGCTGGAGGAGATCGCAGATTGTGGCGAGGCAAAATCGCCAACACCAGTCGGCAAGGCACCTGATGATGATGATACACTATTCGTATTCGGCCGAATAGTTGGTCCCACTATTCGTATTCGGCCGAATAGTGAAAATCACTATTCGGTAAGCCCTAATATATATATATATATATATATATATATATATATATATATATATATATATATATATATATATATATATATATATATATATATATATATATACAGCGTATAATTACCTGCCAAACAACCATGAGCAGGTACTAAAGTACCAGTCCAAGCCACTCGTTGAAGTGCAATTAACATTTCTTAGGTCAACATTCTTGGCACAAAGAAATCAGACCACAATCATAACCGATACTGCTTGAACGTTGTCGATTTGTTTGTGTTTTGTTTTCATAAATGGATGCATTGATTGAGGGCTGACTTGTCTACACACAGATACACTGAATGGGGTCTTCAGGGACAACACCTGCAGATAAGGGGGACACAAATAAAACCACGTCAAAAAGACCACAACATGTCCCTGTCCCTGAAAACTATCCAGGAAGTTAACCCAGTCAACAAGTGCTTGATGATGTCAGATGTGTCAGCCGAGAGGTGCAAATACCGCAGCTCTGCTGTAAACAGTCACAGAGCGTTTACGTCACTCGGATGAACGAAATGAAGAAGCAGATATCAGTGGCTAAGTGGCAAATCGGGCATAGAGTGCTAGACCCATATTTGTATAAATAAAAACCAGCACTAGATGGCTAATGCGGTCGGCGTCACAGATCGTCTTTACTTTCCGTAAGATTTTCTTGTACTGTTTGTGTGCTGGGTCGACGTGGGAGCCAATGTCAATTAAAAAGAAAACAAATAGCAGCTTCAATTGGATTTGAACCCCAAGAAAATAAACACACGATGTATCAAAGATTATGTGTTAACTTTTTAAAAAGTGCTATATTAGCCAAATATAGAGCAAATTTTAACAGGATGCTCCTAATCCTGGACAAATAATAAACAAGCCAGACAATTTCTTGAGGCCTCGGAAATGTTGTTTTATTTTGTTTATACAGAAGAATTTTTATAAATAATTGGACAGACAAAAAAGGAGCAACCCAGTTGTGTAGAAAGAGGTGAGGGCTAGAATGCAACTTATCATCAGATAGAGGCAGTGACCATTTGTGGTAATATTATCAGAAGAATGAAACAGGAACATGATGTGACCACGAGAAAGGCCTGTGGGGGCGGGGGTTGGGGGAGGGGGGGGGGAGAGACAGAGGAAGACAACGGGAGACGATTCTTGAAAGCTTTTTGTCATTGCATGGAGGGAATATGTCAGCACGTAAACTGAGACACGCTGTTGAAGATTGCAGATTTCAGACATGCATGAACGCCCCCACCAGCCGGCATGGCACTTGACGATTATGATTTTAGCAAGAACGGACAAGCTGGAGTGAACAATGCGAACATTTTTTATTTCTACTTTCCAAATGAGCACTGGTTTGTTATTGTGACCTCCACACTCGCCACGTGATAACAAATAATCACAGTTTATGGTGAGTTTAACGGTCTGCACGCTTTAGAAGCGATTGCACGATCCAGGCAGACCTTCAAGGGTATCTAAGAAAAGTATATATAATATCGTACTTTCACAGATTTGATTAGTTTTCTATGGAAAATCCGAATCCAAACCGAAAACAGGTTAGAATTGTTAATATAAGTAGTATCTGTGTATTAAGATGGCCATCTGATTTTTGTTTAGCTGTGATCACATCATATTATTATTTGATTATGTTTAAATTTGAATTTTTAACACGTTGACTAATTTAGTTCGCATGCATTTCTTCGACGTTTTTGTTGGTTCAATCAGTGATTCCCAAACTGTGCGCCGCAGCGCTCCGGGGAGCCGCGACCTCTTCAGAGTGGCGCCGCGAAATATTCGAAGAGACTTTTTCCATTTATGTTACATACGAATAGTCCTACTTTTACTTAGGTTAGGGCGAAGTGCAAAAATTAACTGGGGACACTGTTTGGAGTTCCAAATTTGTCGTAAACGATCACCCTATTTTTTTTATAGTTGTGCCTGTGAAAAGCCACACCAAATGCCACTCGTTGTTTCGTGTGAAAAGCCAGACCAGTCCCGCTAAAATCGGGGTACGCGCATCAATGCATAAGGAAGCCGCCAGAGAGGCCAACAGTAGCTACATTATTTGTGTATAAAATCGATTCCGTAATGGTACTTGATTGGTATAAAGTTCAAAACAAGTAACGGCTATTCTCCGACTTACGGTCGGCAAAGATGGCGGCCACAAAATCCAGCCGAGCCGCAGTCACGTGTTAATTGCGCGCTTCCGGCTACTTCATTTGCGGTCATCTGGCGGTTTTCCGTCTGCAGCTGGCGATGTCTGCAGCTGGCGATGTTTGCAGCTGGCGATGTCTGCAGCTGGCGATGTCTGCAGCTGGCGATGTCTGCAGCTGGCGATGTCTGCAGCTGGCGATGTCTGCAGCTGGCGATGTCTGCAGCTGGCGAATGAATTTCTACCACGAGTTTTCCTCTTGCATAGATCAACTAAACCTTCGTTTTAAGTCTTAAGTTATCCCACACATGAAGACGGTCACATGGATTCTTATAAAAAGAGGCTCGCAAGGTGGGTTGTGGGTTTACAACTAGACTGCGATATATGCACCTTTCGGCCCAACGTATTTGATTTCAGCAAACCAGTATTTTTCGCTTTCTAGAAAATGCTTTTTAAAAATCAACCAGAGGAGGATTTTCTACGAGGAAATCATAAAAATAAGAGGAAAACATTCATTGCAACACAAGACAGGAAGTAGCGGTCTAGTTATTAGGATAACACAAAGCCAGAGAACTGGCCTATATACCACAATCTTAGCCACGTAAATAATGCAAAGAAAAAAAAAACCAGACCACAATTATAACCGGAGACAGTTGACATCGACTGCCAACAGGGAATGGAAATATGGTTGTTTGCGCCCCCCCCCCCCCCGCTTTCCCCCCCCCCCCCCCCCCGCTCCCAATAAGGACTCCCGGAATATTAACGCGATTCCTTTTTGACATTTCTGTACATTTAGACTGTACATTGTTGGCAAATGACGTATGTATTTAAACAGAGCCTGTTATATAAAAGACTTTTACTGGCACACCAACAAGCCAAACCCACATTTACTTTACTTCTCGCATACCAGCCATCTGTATTATACTTTACAACCACACATGCATGAATACCTGTGTTATCCATCTTTACCGATAGCCATTTCATGAACTCATTGACCTATTAACTTAATGACCTTTCTCTCTCGCATTTCCTCTCAGCTTGCACACACCCACTCTAACTTTGCTATCCTTGCAGATAACCTCATCACATCTTTAAAATAGCGCTTGTGCGCGCACATACTCGTTTGCTCTTTTCCTGGCTCACGCCAAACACATACATACGGGCGCGCACTTGCACCCACATTCACAATCTGGTGTTGCAGATTTACCTATGACCCTTTGTCAACAGCTTTACAAGCATACACATCCAGTCATTCTTGAATACTTATTGCAGATGTCTCCGCAATCCTTGAGATTCTGTGCTGCGGCTTTCCTGGCCGTTACATGCATAGCTATAGTAAGATCTATGCCCTCTGACCCCGGAGATGTGTCCGGCCCCGGTGATGTGTCCGGCCCCGGTGGAGATGTGTCCGGCCCCGGTGGAGATGTGTCCGGCCCCGGTGGAGATGTGTCCGGCCCCGGTGGAGATGTGTCCGGCCCCGGTGGAGATGTGTCCGGCCCCGGTGGAGATGTGTCCGGCCCCGGTGGAGATGTGTCCGGCCCCGGTGGAGATGTGTCCGGCCCCGGTGGAGATGTGTCCGGCCCCGGTGGAGATGTGTCCGGCCCCGGTGGAGATGTGTCCGGCCCCGGTGGAGATGTGTCCGGCCCCGGTGGAGATGTGTCCGGCCCCGGTGGAGATGTGTCCGGCCCCGGTGGAGATGTGTCCGGCCCCGGTGGAGATGTGTCCGGCCCCGGTGGAGATGTGTCCGGCCCCGGTGGAGATGTGTCCGGCCCCGGTGGAGATGTGTCCGGCCCCGGTGGAGATGTGTCCGGCCCCGGTGGAGATGTGTCCGGCCCCGGTGGAGATGTGTCCGGCCCCGGTGGAGATGTGTCCGGCCCCGGTGGAGATGTGTCCGGCCCCGGTGGAGATGTGTCCGGCCCCGGTGGAGATGTGTCCGGCCCCGGTGCAGATGTGTCCGGCCCCGGTGCAGATGTGTCCGGCCCCGGTGGAGATGTGTCCGGCCCCGGTGGAGATGTGTCCGGCCCCGGTGGAGATGTGTCTGGCCCCGGTGGAGATGTGTCCGGCCCCAACGTGCCTGTCAATGTGACACCAGGTAGGTTTACACTTTACTATTTGACCAGGATTTGATGTCAGTGATTAACTTAAGCCTTTTTACTATAGTTCGTTTTAAGGACGGTTGCCATGTTTCGGGGTATAAATTTTAGCTGCGGAATCTTTCACCTTTATGCCTAAAACAGATTTTAGGAAATCTTTTAGGGTCTTTTACAGGCTCAAGGAACAGCCGGTCTACGCCCCCTCCACCTTTCACCCCCGCCCCGTGTCGCCTTCTCCAATGGGCCCAGGAACCCTCAAAGCAATTTTGTAAATCTAATATGTTAGTGTTTTATTTCCTTTGTATTCCACTTTGCCTGAAGTGGAAAGTCTAATACTAGGAAAGGGTTGGAAGGAAAGAATTGTAAATTTGCTCTTATAAAAATCTTATTTAGCTCAAAATATATGCACACCTAATTAGAATTCATGTTCTCATACATTTAACAATTTCATTTCTTAGTCGTAAGTTATTTTTCTTACAGTTGTGAGTTACATTTAAAAAAAATATTTTTATACATATTTGTAGTTACATATTTTTAGTTACATACAACTGGTTCTGACTTTTTACCATTGTCAGCGAATTAACTAATTCACCCCGTGACTAGAAGAAAAATTGTTTGGGAGGGGGTGGTAAAGCGACTTGTTTGGGATGTTTGCCTTTCAGCACAAAAAGTCACCTTATGTTACGTCGTTGACCTAGGGGGAGCTGGAAACGGGGACAGAAGGCAGGCTTCTTAAGCCCCATTAGATTGCTCCCCCTGCCCCTTTCAAATCTGTCACGAGTTGCCTTGAGCTGTTTTTCCTCTTTCAGAATATTTGCAGTAGGGCAATTTTCTCTCCCCCCCCCCCCCACCCCACCCCTCTTCCAATTTACTGACTTATTTAAAGTAGTTTATATATTTCAAATTTGAATATTTTGCCATTTATTACGATGTCGATAATACACACAGAAACAAGGCTTAAAAAACCCTATTAGACACCTACTAAAAATTGATACCTTTCACCCCCGCCACCCCCCCCCCCACCTCCCCCCTTCCCTTTCTTTGCCTTTGGGAGAAAAAAAAAAGACCAGGCTGTTCATCAAACAGGTAATCTTTCATTTTTGTATGCAGTGTATTCAGTCCTTGAGTTCAAAATTATCGGGCATTCGGAGGTTCCATCGAGCCAAGAGCCAAACTAGTAAGGGAAAACCACTGGTCATTGTTGATTGAAGAATGGAAAAGCAGATTGTTAAAGCAGCTAAGCTGTAACTCTTACAAAATGAACTCTTACAAAATGCTAAGTCCACCTCACTAATTACAGCAATGGCACTGGAACATGACCACTCAGCTGAGCCCTTCCGCCTCAGCCAGTTTTATTTTAGTAGGCTTAGAGCTCCCACCCAGTCCCGAAACATTTTTAAAATATGTCCGTGGTTCCAAGCATTTTGAAACAGCTCCTATGGCCGAGCCCTTCAGGCTTGCATTACCTAATGTCTTACAAAGGTGTTCACAAGTATGTTACTGAGCGGAGACAAAAGGGGTAGGTAGCAAGGAAATGCAAAATGATGCATCCATGCAGAAAAACAGTACCCTCCATTTCCGCTCTCTCCATGCCACACTGACGTTTAACACTGCACAATACGTCGGTCTAGTCTTAACCACAGATAAGGGTTGCTGTACTGCTGTGTCTCAGTGGAGCATAAGCCATCGGCCAACTCGTGTTCACCGGATGTAAACTTTTTATAAAAGCTCCGGTTGTTCATCCACTTCTGGACTTTAGACTTGGTTTTACATGGCAAATGTTATAACACAACTGGTTTATTTGAATGCAGACTTTGTTCCTCGTCTGACAGATGCATACAGGCTTGGAAGGAAACATCCCCAATATATATTTTTCTATTGCATGCAGCTCACTCCAGGTCTTCCCACCTCACCCTTTTTTGTGGTCTGCCTTTATTTCTGCTTCCCAGTGGTTTCCAGTGCAGACATTCTGGTTGTATAGATTTGCTTTGTGACGTCCTATAAAGGGTATAAGCCGGCGTAAGCAGTTGAAGTAACTAGACATAACACTAAAATGACAGAAGTAACTAGACATAACACTAAAATGACAGAAGTAACTAGACATAACACTAAAATATGACCGAAGTAACTAGACACAACACTAAAATATGACCGAAGTAACGCACACTAAAATATGACCGAAGTAACGCACACTAAAATGACCGAAGTAACTAGACATAACACTAAAATATGACCGAAGTAACTAGACATAACACTAAAATATGACCGAAGTAACTAGACATAACACTAAAATATGACCGAAGTAACTAGACATAACACTAAAATATGACCGAGGTAACCAACGCTAAAATATGACCGAGGTAACCAACGCTAAAATGACCGAGGTAACCAACGCTAAAATGACCGAGGTAACCAACGCTAAAATGACCGAGGTAACCAACGCTAAAATGACCGAGGTAACCAACGCTAAAATGACCGAGGTAACCAACGCTAAAATGACCGAGGTAACCAACGCTAAAATGACCGAGGTAACCAACGCTAAAATGACCGAGGTAACCAACGCTAAAATGACCGAGGTAACCAACGCTAAAATGACCGAGGTAACCAACGCTAAAATGACCGAGGTAACCAACGCTAAAATGACCGAGGTAACCAACGCTAAAATGACCGAGGTAACCAACGCTAAAATGACCGAGGTAACCAACGCTAAAATGACCGAGGTAACCAACGCTAAAATGACCGAGGTAACCAACGCTAAAATGACCGAGGTAACCAACGCTAAAATGACCGAGGTAACATAACGCTAAAATGACCCCGCTTTCCACGCCTTCAGTCTTACTGGTCAGTGTTAGACCCATTTTTTTGTTTTGTTTAGATTAGTCGGCACTTGGGTGTGGTCATCATACTGACCATCCTGGAACTTCCCACAACTATAACGGGTACCCATTTATGACTGTCGACATAGCATGGTTTTAGTACCTTTCAAAATGATAGCGTTCTAGTACTAACGCAGCATTGTTTTAGTGGCACCTTTAAACGCTAGCATTGTTTTGGTAGTACCTTTAAACGCTAGCATTGCTTTGGTAGTTAGTACCTTTAAGCGCTAGCATTGCTTTAGTAGTACCTTTAAACGCTAGCATTGTTTTAGTACCTCTAAAGGGTAAGCCGCGTTAGCGCAGTCGATAGGAGACTGCTTTCAAATCCAGCTGCGACTCGCTGCAGCCCACGGCAAGTGTTCGAAACCGAGGAGCGGTTCCCGGGGTTCACCCAGCCTTTAGCAAATGGGTACCAGAAGAGATAGTACTCTGGGGTAAATGGCTACGGAGTTAGTGCGAACGGAGACGCAGGCGGACAATTTAAGTTGTCCGAACTGGTGGCAGGGCACTCATGGTTTATAACTGTCTGCAATGACACTGGTTTATGGTTTATAAACTTGTGCAATGACACTGGTTCATGGTTTATAACCGTCTGCAATGACGCTGGTTTATATCTCCCGACTTTACCCTTTTAAAGGGTAAAAAAATAAGTTAAAACTGCTTGAAAATGCTGAAAACGTTCATTGCTTTCCGCGTGGTTTGCAACACACTGGCAACAGGTGACTGCAGTAGCCGAAGCTTTGAGAAAATTTAATCACCTTTGAAAGCAGGTGTTCACAGTACACGCGAACTTGAAGTCCACGTGACTACATTAAACTTTCAGCAACTAGACAAATCACGACGCATTAACGTTTCGCAATTCAGTTGGATTTATCCCGTTTTGTGTCTGCATTTATTTTACGTTTATGCAATTCTTCTAATAAAGCGTCTGATAAGATAAATATGCCCAGCAAAAGTGTACAATGTCAGCGTTTTCAAAATTATTCATATTCTTCTTTTCAGATAAACGGAGCCAGAAAGATGAGTCGCCCCTGTTGAATCGTCCTGCACGGAATCTGGCTCAGTGGTTCACCGGAAGTAACCACTACAAACCCAAACGTAGACAACATCGTAACCGGTTTGATCCCCGTTGGAACCACGCCAAAGAGAATCCTGAAGTAGCCACAGCTTAAGGGATAGGCGGAGGGGGCAACTTCTAATGACCACACCCTCTTGTAAAACACCCACGGCTAGAATAGATGCTCAGAGCTCATTGATTGAAAATCTGGTGTTTTGCTTAACTAACATAAAATTAAATTACCTGAGCTACTCATTTGTTCTTATTTGCATTGCAAAATGTTTGTTTTTAGAGTGCTGTAAATTTTTTTAGGGGGAGGGGCTGCGTAACATTAATTTGTTCATACATGGCGATATATTCCAAAAAATACTTGCATGGCTCGCTAGCACAGTTAAAACCCTCTGCGCGGCAACCGGGTGACGGAACTCCTTGTCCGATCCACGTTCAGGCTTGGGCAGAAAAGCCACATTCCTCTGATTTACGGTACTATCATGAAATCAAGGCCGAGAGTTGCGATATCCATAGTACTGGGCCAAAAGGGTTTACAATTCATGGTTTCTGGATTTAAAAAAAAAAAAAAATTAAACGTTATTTATTGAATACCAAATTAGCACGGTAGAGATCCTCTGATTTGCAAAAAAACAAGCGTCTAGTCGCTACACCACGGCTCTCTCGCAGGCGTCTGTTGTAAGACTAAATTTACAATTTGTGATACACCCCCCCCCCCCAGTCGTGTTGTGGGTTGCTGGGGGTTTGATGCATGCTTTTCTTCTGACCGGTTCCCCACGCCCCCCCCCCCCCCCCCGCCCCTTTCTGACATATTAAACGACCCCGATTGCCGGGAAAGAACATGATTGTCACAAATCTTTAAAGAAAACACATGGAATTCTTTATTGCAACACTTAAAAGTTGTTAGAAAGCACTAGATGTGTCAAAAGTTAAAAAGTCTTAAACAAAATGCATACATCAAAGCAAGATTTGGGAGAAGTGCCTTCCATAATCATTTTTTTTAAAACATGCATATGCACATCATCAGCACAATTAGGCGGAGCCACGAAACATATCTTACTATTTAAA